AATTAAAAAAACTAAAATTAAAAAACCACAATAACTCTGCAGAGTTATAAAAAGTATATTAGTGTTTTTATATGATGCAGTTTATGTACAGACTGTAAAGAGACAGTCAGGGGAGTTTCCCTGTTGACAGCAACAGACTGTAACACACACACACACCACACACACACCACTCACACACACACACACAACACAACACACACACACACACACACTGAGCTAGCCGGCCAGCTAGTAGCCCTCATCGGCTCCCGTCAGTAAAAACAAGCCACCCATCCGTTTCTCTCCAAATATCCACCATGGATTTAAACAACATGCTGTCGCAGCTTGACGCCGCCAACGAAGAGGACGTCGAGCAGCTCCTGCAGCAGTTTAATCGAGAGGTGAGTTTTATATTTATATATATATATATTTATTTTCTTTACCTCAACCAAAACAAAACGATGCTAACGTTAGCTACAGAGCTAGGTAGCTTCAGAGCTCACTTTAAGTTGTTCTCTAGACTTTATATGAGCTGAGATGTTGGTGCTGGTAGGAGATATCTAATGTGGCCTCGTTAAACATGTCACAGAGAGAGAAAAAAGATGTGTTTTTGAGGCAAACTGCGTGTTGATAACGTTATTTGTTAATTGTATTAGCAGTATTAGCAAACGTATGCTACTTCCCTGAAGGTCTGAGATTTATGTTTATATGCTTATATCTCAAATATAAGAGGTTTTATTTGCTCTAAAACATGTCTAATGTGTGTCTGAGCTGTTTGGTGTCACTCAGTGAATCAATGAACATCTTATCTGTTTCAGAACAGTCACACCTTTGCTTTTGAGCCAAAGGAGGAAACCCTGCGGAGTGTAAGTCCTGGTAGTTTATTATATGACATGTGATATCGTGGGTGGTTGTGATCTACAGCGCTTTTTCACTCTGTGTCATTTTCCAGAAGCTGTGTCAGAGTGTGCTGACCGTACTGGGGAGGCAGGTGCAACCCAGCTGTCAGAAGACGTGTCTGGAGACACTCCGCATCCTGTCCAGAGACAAGCGCGTCCTCGCACCCGTAGCCACCAGGGAGGGCATGCTGATCCTGGGAGGGATGGCGAGGCTGCGTGCCGGAGAGGAAGGGGTTGACAACGAGAAAAGCTCGGAGGAAGACGCCCTGTCGGAGGAGGAGGAGAGGGTGGTGGTGGAAGCCTTGAAGTGCCTGTGCAATGTGGTGTACAACAGTCCGGCAGCTCAGCAGGTTAGTGTAGACGTGCAGCTGGCTCACGGCCTGTGTGCCAGCCTGCGTAAGGCCCGCACGTGGCACCACGAGGTGGGCCTGTTCACACTGCGCCTTCTCTTCCTGCTGTCTGCCCTGAGGCCCGACGTGAGAGGCGTTCTGAGGAGAGATTGGCATGCTGCGAGGCTGCTGTCGGAGGTTCTGGAGCACACCTTGGATGTGCGCTGGGTCGGTCCCTATGAAGCTGCCCGTCCGGATCCACAGGCCCTGACCTTGCCTGCGGAGGACAATGAGCGAGCAATGGAAGCACTGAAAGCCTTGTTCAACCTCACGCTGTCTTACGCTGGTGGTAAGGTGAGTGTTGTTAGTTTAAGAGTGCGTAATGTTACAGTTCTTATTGCACAGGAGTTGTTTGGGTTTGTTGTCTGACTCGTGGTTCAGAGCAGGTCCGGTATGCATGACCATAAAGATTATAGATTAGACTCTCTTGGACCAGAAACGTCATGCATCTGACCCCCACAACAACCAACTTATATCCATCACTAACCATTTGTCGTGTGGACGTCTTTCTGAGGAAGACCCTCAACTCATTCTTGAATGTGAAAACACTGTAATTCAAGATTCAGTTCATGAATCAGAAAGAAAAACACACATAATACAAAATCACTATCAGGTGTGTAGTGGAGTCATTGTGAATAGGTGTTCAGGTTGAAAGCACAGCCAACATTAATGTTATTACTGACACTTAATTTAAGGATGCACTTACAGAACTTTTGAGAATCAGTCAATCAAAAAAAAGTGTCTGTCCACCACTGAACTCTCCCAGCCCTGTTAGAAAAACAGTTAATTGGAAACTGCAGACATCAGAGTCATGTTGCACTCACCAAAAATGGCCTTCTCTCTTTTTACTTTCACATTTAACTCAAGTGGTGTATTGACCATCGTGTTTCACATGTAAATCAGATCAGTCACTGATATCCAGTCCAGCGTAGGCCTTTACGCAGTAGACACTAGGCTCCTTTCGAGCTGAGCCAGGCCTGCGGGAATCGATCACCGGTGCACAATGCGTGCCAGTTAGATTTGTTCCCGACTTTAAAGCCAACTTGCTCTGATGTCAAGCATACGTGATGGGCAACACCGACCTCACGAGATCAAGGCGGCTGCAGTTTTTAGAGCCAGGCGCCCTAAAAGAAAATCACATTTTTCTGCGTGATTACAATATTTAATGCGATTGTAGGCTATAAGTCTCAGCTTACAGATGGCTCTAACAGCATGTAAATATTTATGTGACTTCTTGTATATTCTATGAACGCTGATCTCGTCCACTTTCACCTCGAACGAGTCTATTTTGACTTGTCGTCGTAGGAAAAGCTCAGGTGTTACTAATAACATTAACAATGGCTCTGTTCTTTTCAAGTTTCCCAGTAAACCCGGTCAGCGAACCAACATGATATCATTAATTATATTATTTACACTTTCTTACGGTGACAAATGTGTTCAATTTTAAAAAAAGGCCTCTTTACACAAATATCACTTTTATGTGCCACACTAGCTCTCTTTCATAGGCTGCACACACAGAAGACACACACACACACCTGTATCATCTTATCCTGTGAATTAAATGCTGTAGGTACGTATGCGTTTACCATGTGTCCATTACATATGTGACTGTGATTGATGTCGTTATGATATAGTTATCACTGTCAAACTTGGCGGTATTTAAAACATGCTTGCCACATTTCATGCAATTTCGGCCAAAAAGGGACACGTGACGTCAAAGGCTGCAGCTAACACAGCGTAAGTCCTGATGACACCAAATGTAGTTCTTAGGCTCAAGTTTGACCCTGCTCTCCTCTTTGGTGACGTAGAAATCCAAACCTCCTCTTCCTCCTCCTATTTTGACCTCTTTTAATCTCTTTGCTCTCCCTCTTTTGTGCTGTAGTCTGGTTGTGATGCCTCGTTGAATTTTAAGGCAGCTTTTTTTTGCAGAAGGACCTTTTGCTTCCAGTCTTCCCCGTCCTTGTAGCTCAAGTTTTATTATTACCTTTACTGTTTTTGCTTTACCCCTGAACAATAAAACCGTCTTGAACATCTTTTGATTTGATAGGAGGACGACCATCAGTTCCGACTCATCGCTGCCACCCTGCGTCATCTGTTGATGCTGAAGACGGAGACGGAGGAGAAAACAGAGGAAGCACACAGGTGGGAAAGTGTGTCCCTCGCTGCTCTTCATAGATTAATCTCTTAGTAAACTGAACACTGAATGAAGGTGCTGTGAAGTTTGCAACCTGAGAAAGAATACAAAACCAGCATGACAAGGCCCACTCGCATGATGCCTCTCTGTCTCATAGCTTACCGTACATAAATGTCTCCTCGTCTGTGTATTTGGTGGTTGTGTGTTTTACTAGAATGCTGCTTTTCAAACTTCGTTCGAGACTGATTTGCATAGAAAAGCACACAGACGGGCAAAGTGCTTCTGCCACTGAGCAAATTAACTTGCATCCATGGTCACAGTGGAGTCACTGTGATTTGCATATAAGCACCCCTCTGGACAAGAGTGTTCACTGAGCAGCTGTAAGAGAGACAGATTAAGACCGATAGGACAGCCGTGTTGTGGGGAAAAAAACACTTCAAGCCAAACAGAGATGTTTCTTTGGGGCCTTGTTTGGTTGTTTCGTCGTCTAAATGCTCTTAGCTGTCGTAATACTACAGCAGTATCTGCTTCTCATGGTAATTAAATGCAGGAATGCCAGGAATCCGTGCCTATAGACTCAAATTTAAACAGCGTCCTGTATAAGTGACTGATGTTTCAATTGACTTGTCAAGTCGTTGGCTGCACTGGTCATGGTAGTTTGGCCCATTGACGGGCGTAACTTTAGTGTGAGTATGTGACAGAACATATTGGGTAAACGGGTAAAGTTGTTTTTAATATAATAAACAAGTTGGTTGATCATATTTACAAGAATTGTTTCCAAATGTAAGCAGTTTCAAGGTGTTTAATAAATAAAATTGGTGTGCGTCACTAAAATAAGAAGACATTTCACAAAACATCCCCACAGTTAGGGATGGGACAATATATAATAGTATCATATATTGTGATTTAAAAAAAACACTAAGATAAATGTATTGTGATAATGATAACTGTGAATATCCTTACATGGCTTGACTTCAAAAAAGCTGTCTAGCTCGCCAGGCTACAGTCATATATTGATTTCCTGATTTATCTTTCCAGTCATTCTAAAATCCTAATCCTGTCACCATGGCTGAAGGTTCAGCTGTGCCCGCCTGCCTAAATATACGTTTAAAAACCGGATGGTGTATAGCATTTCAGAAGTCCCCAAGAGCACAGATTGCCCCATGTAAATGCAATAATATATATGCTGCTTCTTAGTGAAAACTGTAATTGTTTAAGTGCCATTTTCAACAGCGTGAAGTATGTATAATTTTGTGTATTGCTATTATTATTATTATTATTATTATTATTATTATTATTATTATTATTGTACAAGATTACACTACACACTAGCACACAATATTACTACGATTTTTTTTTTTCTACACAACATTTTATGAGAGTTATGAGCATCGGACCTGCGATATTTATTGTTGGCAGTTTCACTATAATCAACAAGCTTTTCCTTTTATCTGCGCTGAACAGCTAACCCAGACATCAGCTTTTTATGTTTTCAACTTTATAATTTCAGAGGGTCCTCTCTCCTCCAAAATCTTTCTCATTATTTGTCTCTAATTGACCATTGCAGGTCTTCTCAGACAGTAGTAATATAAATAAACACACTAAATAGATAAAACTCAACAAAAATGTGATGAGCAACGTAAATATCTCTGTCTCTCACTATAAAACGTATATTTCCTGTATATTGCTGTCTTGACAACAAAGATATAAATAGTGTGTCACAGATGGGAGTTAGATGAAATGATTCTTAACTTGAAAGCTCCTTTTACCCCAGGTGAGCCAGATCGCAGCCTGAGGTCATCTGGCAGCGACCCATCAGCTGTTCCAAAATGTAGATTAAAAACAAGAGGTGACTGGTCCTTTGCCACAAGGGCGCCTTGACTTTGGAACAACTTCCCTCAGGCTAAATGCTCCAAAGCTTTAATCTTTTTCAAAGCTTTTGTTCCAAAGCTTTCATCTATTTCTCATTTTCTTCACTTCTTAAATCTCATTTTTAGACTTTCACCTCCTTAACCCCACTGACCCTTTGGCAGTCTCATCTCAGAGGATTTTAGGTGTCCATTTTAAAAACTCTACTGTTGAATGTCAAGATTTTGCAAAGATCTACGTCATTAAGAAATACTTTTATGTCCCCAGCCATGCCGTCAACCTGCTGAATAACCTGCCTGTGTCCTGCCTGGACGTGCTAATCGACGTGCCTGTTCAGGGAGGAGAGGAACAATATGGTGGGAAAAACATGGATGCAGTGCAGATGTTACTAGACTTCATGGAGAAAAGGATCGACAAGGTAAAGTTCATCCTCTGCAGCGAATACAGAGAGAACTGATTACTTATCCACTATATCTGTTTATGTGCTGTTGATAGTTAATAATGAAACTTGAATATGTCCTAAAAAGTGGACATAAGAATGTTGAAATATATATTATAGTACTCTGTGTGTGTGTGTGTGTGTGTGTGTAATAAGTGATACAAGTGGAGTAAATTTACACTACAGGACATAACAAAGATTTTGAGCTTTCATGTAAATTTAGATGCATACATTGCATTACGACTAATATTTAAAAATAATAATAAATAATAGTAGAGGTTATAAGTAGTAAAGTTATTTTTTTGCAGGATTTTATTTACATTTGCATCAGATTATACTTAAAGTACAAAAAGTAAAAGTGCAGAATGATCAAAATAATATATTATTATATAATTATTGATGCATTAATGTCTTAATTAATTTAATTACTTTGTTAATTCTGGCTAGCTTAATCTATAATAATACACGATTGTTTATTACTTGATTTATTTTTGGTATTAACAATCTGTAAAGTAACTAAAGTTAATGTAATTGAGTAAAAAGTTCAATATTTGCCTCCAAAATATAGAAGTAAGTACAGTGGTAGTATAATGTAGCGTAAAATTGAGTAAACGTTCTTAGTTACACTTCACCACTGGTTACTCTAAAAATTTGACACTTTTTGACAATTATCAAAGTCAAAGTATCAATTTCCTTGATTACTAATAATCAGTATCTGTATTGGCACTACAGAAAACATATTGTTTGATTCCTAATTCAGTTTCTTAACCACTCATTCTGTCTTTACCTCGTTATCCTTTATATTACCCACAAATGTACTACTGTTTAAAGTCTATCCATTGTTCTAGCTTGTGAAGTGTCTGTGGCTTGTTTCACTCCAAGCAGGGCTCCAACTACAAAGAAGGTTTGACTCCGGTGCTCAGCCTTTTGACTGAAGGATCCAGACAACACAGGGAGATCCGCAGATATATCAAAGCTCAGGTACAGTAGCAAGCATCTCTCCTGCTGAAGGGTCTGAGTAAATACTGAAATCTCACCGGGATCCTAACCAGATTTTAAATGCCTTTTTTATAAAACAATAAACTTCATAATCTCTGCATCTTTAGGTACTTCCCCCACTGAAAGATGTGAAGATCAGGCCAGAGATCGGCACCACCGTCAGAAATAAGTTGGTTCGCCTTATGACACACGTTGACATGGGTGTGAAGCAGACGGCGGCAGAGTTTCTCTTTGTCCTCTGCAAAGAAAGCGGTGAGTGTGGAGGGGCGGCGGTGGTTGGGTCATAGGAGGAACATCAGATGAGGAAATATGAGAATGAAAGAACAGGTGTTATGTCCACGTTGCTGTATGTATATGTAACTTCACATTGTGTGTCTCCTGTGTCGTCTTGTAGTGGACAACCTTTTGAAGTACACAGGATATGGAAATGCAGCAGGACTCCTGGTGGCTCGAGGACTTCTCGCGGGAGGGAGAGGAGAGACTCAGTACTCCGAAGATGAAGACTCAGACACAGAGGAATACAAATCTGCCAAACCCTTGTGAGTACTCTGCACAGACCTTGTTCAGCACAGTAATGTGTATGCATCGGTACTGTGTGAACCTTTGCAGCTGTGTGTTAAACTTGCTCGTCTGCTTGTTCCAGCATCAACCCGATCACCGGTCACGTGGAGGAGCCGATGCCGAACCCAATCGAAGAGATGACAGATGAGCAGAAGGAGTACGAAGCCCAGAAACTTGTGAATATGTTTGACAAGTTGTCAAGGTAAATATACTGAACTAGAAATAACTCTTCAAAGGACTGCATCCTTTCAGTTTAGTTTAGTAATATTACATTGGTTTCATTTCTTATAAATTCTTCTTTATAAAAGTACCCATTTATTTTATTTGAATGCTTTTATTATGAAGCAGCACAATGAGGAAGTGTTGGGTTTTCATTAGTAACTTAACTCCTACACAGCTGAATGAAACTGTAAAATAAAGCAGATATTTGAAAGTACAAACAGGAAAGCCTCCTGCTTACCTGTTTGTACTTTCAAACCACAGAGATTCACTTAGAAGCGTTGAGTCTGATTTTTTTCATTCAGATAAGGGCTGTCGTTCTTGAGTAAAATGGTGAAAGTGTTTAGATAAGTTAAGAAATACTAGATCTGCACAAAAATGTTCCAGGACCCATGGCCCGACTCTCCACCAAGTTTCATTCAAATCAGCTGACAGAGTTTTGATACTGTATTTGGAAAATTCAAAAGAAAGCCAACTAAGAAACAAACAAACAAAACAAACATTATATGCTACAGAATCCTTTGACAAATAATGAATTGTGTTTCTTTTGCGACAGCTCGACTAAGATGACAAAACTTTTCCCGTTTGAACAACTGTTGCTTCCCCTCGGTCAAATTATTCATATTATTTATTGTTTCCTCTGCAAAGAGTCATGCTGTATTTGTGTTGACCTTTATTTAGTGAGCTGAGGCTAACATTAGTCAGGCCCGTACAAAGGTAACAGTGAGCTCGCTCCCTGCCAACCCATTCATCAAAGGAAGAATCTCTTGCCGTTAGCTGCAGCTTCAATTAGGTCTGGACTTCCAGCACACCGCAGCATTCAGCTGGAGTAAATGGGAGCTGCCGGCACGCCACTGCACCATCATTACCACTGCTCCGTTAATTATCACCTAATTGGCGCACACAGCCCGCTCGTCGGTCCCGGCTCCTTTTATGTGTCACATTCAGGTTTTTAATAACACGTGTGTCCTGACTTTTATTCTCCTCATTCTGAGGAGTCAGTCATTGACCAGACAGGGAGTGGACTGAGAGAGAGGCACCACTGGACAAAGCAATTTGGGTGGAACGTGGACGAGGAGGAAGACACACGGGCGAACAAATGTGCAGACATAAGAAAAGCTGACCTTGTCATTGTTCAGCCAAATTGGGAGTGTGGGTGGGGGAGGGGGGGGGAGGCGCTGAGCTGTAATGAGGCACGTGCTGCCAGAAGAGGAAGATTCCTTTCCGAGGCTGCACCCTCTTTCTTCTCTTCCTCGGTTAAGGGGATGCGATGACGACGGAGAGGTGCTTCCTCAGTACAGGCTCTAAGGAGATCGCTCAGAGCCCGGCAAGAATGTGCTCCCCTAACTGCTTAACTGGTCCTCCAATTAGCACATATTTTGCATCCCCACCCACCAGCCCCTCTTACATCTGCCAGACCCCCAGTCACTGCTGAAGAGAGGAGGCTTTTTTTGTTGTTGTTGCTGCTCTAATTGGGGAAAGAGGATGTTACCTGTTTGTTTTTGTCTTGTTCGCCCTCATTGTACCTGCTGACTTTGACCCGTGATGTCAGGCCGTGGCCTGGTGGTGCCTCTCTGCAGATTTTATCACTGAAGAGACGCCACAATATTTTTAGATTTTACCACATCAAAGGTCTTCTCCGTCTCCTATTTAAAAGAACTTAACCTCTAGATGTCCATAGCTAAGTTCAGTTTAATTGCAGGAATCAGTAGGAATTACATCCATTTATATTTGAATCTCTTTCAAATGAATGCAAATGGGTCTCTTTTTAAATCTTTGATGGATAATTCTCTGATAAATCATCTTAGAGGGAGTGGTGACACACAGTGCAGGTATAATTGGATTAGGATGAAGGGGCAGCCGTGGCTTTGAGGAGATTAGTCTGAGCGCTGATCCTGTAATTAAACTGCCACAGGAGAGGAGGGCAGAGAGGGAGAGAGGATGGCCAGACAGGGGCGAGTGTCCATGAAGGGGGGGGGAGAAGGGGGTTGTTGAGTGAGGGTCCTCGAGCTCTGGATGTAAGAGAGTAAAGATGTACCAGTGAAAGCCCTCTTTAGACTGTCAGTGAATACAAAGGCTCCTGAGTTGGGTTTTGTCTACAAAGTTTGTTTACTTTTAAAATATACATGAAGACATGTCCATTGATGTGTTTCGCAGTTTGGAAACCTTCCTATCAAACCCCCTCTCCATCTAGCAAGTTAAGCGTCTCTGATGGTTTTTCTTTGTGTCCACAGGCAGAACGTAATCCGGCCAATGGGGGTCAGGCCTGACGGGACGTTAGCACCTCTTGAGGAGACGCTCTGTGATCCACCTGAGGACAACTCAGAATCAGACTCTGACTAGTGCACTGCACATCTAGGCCCACGTGTTCCAGGCTGAGCTGACCGGGGCCCCAACACGTCTAAAGCTGTGTCCCATTTCAACGGCTGGATGGAGGACGACGCCCACAAAGGTGGGTCCTCCAGAGGAGCGAGGCTGAACCTGTGTCTCTGCCCCTAAAATAAGAGTTTACTGTCACAGAAAGAGTATAGAGTAGAAGTCAGTCAGAAGATCCACACACTGCACTGATATCTCCCAATGAATCACTCTGTTAACTTAAATGGATTGGCAGATATCAGAAACATTTGTGGATCTATTGTCGAGACTACTCAAACCCAAACTAATGGTGGAATTTAGGCTCAGTTTTTCAACTTGTATCACCAGGAAATCGCACAAAATTGGTCGACAAAGTTTAAAGAGTGTAGACCAAGTAGGTAAACTGCAGTGGCTGCAAAAACCACAAAAGGCCCTCTAGAGCCAGTGTTTGGTTGTCCGTTCTGCCTACCTGTAGAAACATGCGGTTCAAACAAGGCGGGCTCCACCTATGAATATTATATTAAATTTATGCCAATAGATCCTCTTCTAAACGTTACACACTGGACGTTTTAAATGGTTGTAACTGGGACACGTTTTGTGATACCAGTTATCTTGTAACAAATGCAGTACAACTGGCAAATAGTGTATCGAGTTAAAAGTAAATGTATCCATATAACTTCTATTTATCTGTATGTTTATGTCAGCCATCTGTTACTTAAAATTAGCTGTGTAAATTATCATGTTTTTTTTAAATATATAAATATATAGACGTATATTAAATGCAAATACAAAATCTGGTAAATATGACAAGCAAGAATTCACAATTTTACCAATTCACAAACAGTCGCCTGAACACATCACTCAACAATTGACCGATGTGCAAAGGATTTTGGGATACTGAGTCACTGGTCGTCTCTAAGAAGAAAATAGCTTTCTTGGCCTCATTCAGAGTATTGTTTGAAGGGGGACAGACCTCGTCAGCCCATTATGACGTATTCAGTCTAGAAATGTCCGGCCCCGAACGGGGACACAGCTTAAACTTGTCACAGGAAACTTTTGAGGCTCTGTTCGCAGCTGACTTTGATGTGTGGCAGAAAGACTGGCAGCACAATGAATCGGAGGCCTCCGTGGTTACTGTTGCACCTTTTTAATCATTTATTTTCATTGCTCCCTAAGTTGAGAAAATAGAGATAATATAATTTTTGCTGGATTGTGTGAATGTCACTGAAAGAACTGTTGTTTAAAAGTGTAATTAGGTCTGAATAATCATTCCTTCACCTGTGCTTTTGTTTTTCACTTTTTATAAGTTTCTCTTTTTTATTTTTTCCTGCTACCTGATGATTTTGTCCACTCTTTTTATTATTTCTAGATTATTTAAGTACACATTACACACACACATATTTAAACATGTTATCATTGAAAACTGTTAACAGTGCACAGAGTCCCTGGTTTCATGGGGCCTGTCCGGTAAGGACCACAGGTTTGATGTATATTAAGAAATCAGACGGTGTCATTGTGGGCAGTTTTAACTTGCAGCTCACAGTGAGTATATGTGGTGAGGTAATGATCATCAATGTTGCACACTCATACACAGTCGGTCGGCAAGGAAACTTTCTAGATTCAGGGCTTGTTGGCTTACTGTCGTGCCACTGAAATATGTTTTTTTGGAAAAGAAGACAACTTCTTTTCGCTTAAAATTGAGACTTTAAATGGAAAGATGCAACATTTTCCTGTGGTGGATTATAGTAAACAGATTGTTTCTGCCTCTTGTTGACAAAGAAATGTGTAAACTGCAACGATTGTTTTTAATCCATGTTACTTTTGCCAAAATCTGCATGATGTTAAATCCGTTCTGTGATGTGAATTCCTTTTTTTTTTTTTTTTCTAGATTGAAATTTTTGCTTATTTTATATAAATCCACAAGTTTAGTGTATGTATAAACTGAATAATATTCCTTTTATGTTGGTACAATTTAATCAAGGTGGCAGTTCTGAAAATCAGCTGCATGGTTGTGTACGGTTTAGCTCCTGAACTGAAACCCTGCTCTGGATTACAGATACATTTGTTGTGTAAATCCAGACAAAGTGAATATTAACCAGAGAACATGTGTCATTAATACAGGAATTGATGACCGTTGACTTGTTTTGATATTCAGTAATCATGAGCACACTATTCACCTGACCTGTGAATCACCACTTACTGCCACACACACACACACCACACTCACACACAATAAGTCAGATAAAAAAGATAAATTATTTCGACTTGGCCTCACACACAAAAAAGAGCTGACTCAACTTTGTGAGTCGCCTCCTGAATCATGTGACGTAAAGCCACGAAAGGTCAGACTTTGCAGGTGCGTCACAATTTAAAGGGAAAAAGCAACAATTAAGTGTCTTAGTGAGGCGTTTGACCTCCAGAAGCCTCAAGAACAACTTCAGTGCAAACAAATGTTAATACTTCCGTTATGTTCCTCTACTCATTTCTTCAGGTTTTCCCCTTTAATTTGTCAGGCATCTGTGGACCAGAGTTTGTTTCTAATGTGCTTTTTCCTTCACAATCAGTCAAAAAATCTAAAATGCATGTTGATCACTTCTCCGTGTAGAAAGAATATGTTATGGGAATATGTTTGTTCTTTTTTTGCAGATTCTTTACATACTGTAAATAGCGCCACACTTATTTTATGTAGAGAAGCTTTCACTGAAACATTAATAAAATGGAGAATACAAATAGTTGTCATTTTTGAACCTATACTACATAATAAAAAGACAGAAAAGATGCAAAATACACAATACTTTTATTAAATATTGTTTAAAATACAGTGTGTGCTAATATAAAACATTAACAAGAACCCTTGTTTCAGGACTCATTTATTTACTAGTGTTCTGGATGGACCCTCCCTCTATAATAAGTGCTTTAAATGTGCTTTTAAACTGCATTTGATGTCATTTCTTGATTTACACATGAACATGACACACTGGGATGAAGAGGTAAGAGGACCATTTGGCCACTAGCAGAAAATAACCAGCTGAACGGTAACGTGTACACACACAGTTAACAGGAGAACAGTCTTAGTGTGAGTAACTCTCAAACCTTTCCAGTGCTGTTGTTTGTGAAACATATGCAGTGTCAGTTGCTCAGGCTGGACGATGCGTTGCTCTTGCTGTCCGTCTCTGAGTCAGTCTCCTCGCTGCCGCTGCTGGCTGCTCTTTGAGCTCCTGGTCTGGACCTCGAGGTCTCCATCCTGCCTGGAGGCTCTGGAGCTCTTCTGCCCGGGCACAGTGTCTGTCCGCTCACTGACGGAGGGCTGCTGATCAATGCAGGGACGCTCTGCCAGAGGGAAGTTATTGCCACAGTCAGAAAGTGTTTTAAAAAGGACCAGTGTGTTGGATTCAGTAGCATCGTTAACTTGTGTCTGTATTTCACGATGGGCTGTGAAGTGTGTGAGATAAACTATGGTGGCCGCGAAATGTCTGAAAACCTCGAAAGGCTCCATCTACAGCCAGTGGCAGGTGATGCTGTGTCTGTAGATAAAAACAGCTCCTTCTAAGGTAACAAAAACACACTGATCCCTATATTCAGGTGATTACACACATAAAAACATACCTATGAATATTATATTCTATTTCTGACAATAGATATTCCTAAATGTTACACACTGGACCTTTAAAATAGAGCCCAGAGAGATTTATAGTTGAATATTGTGGCATGAAATCTGATAAATTACCTCAAGTAATGTCACCTGAATCAGCATCATTTGGGGATCAAGACTAGGGGTGCTTTATATTATGCTAACTTCTCTCCTTGCTTCTTAGGATGTTAGAGAGAGAGTTGCGAAGAAGAGACAAAGAGGATGGAGGAGCCAAAGCTGCCATACTGGCTTCAGTTTATATGTATAATATCCCTACTCTTTTTCTATTTGTTTAATAAAGAACCCAAACAGACACACATTCGCTGCAAGAAGGCCTAAAGGATGAAACCCACCATTTTTTCCTGACTCCTCATCAGCTCTTCAATCTCATCGTTCCAGCTGAGCATTTCTGCAAACCTCCGCACTGTCTCCTCCAGGTCGCCCAGCTCCATGTGGTCTCCTCTCCGCAGCGGGACCTTCTCAAAGGGACCCACGGCGTGTCGGTTCAGGAGGAGACGTGGCACCGTGGAGCGCACCGTGTTCACCAGGCTGGCAAAAGGCTCAATCTGAAACAGGGAATATTTGTTCAGATGTAACTGAGCTCAGGGTTTACCTGCTCACAACATGTAGTAATGAATACATATTAATTAAATGTTTACCTGTAAAGACGTGCCCATAATGATTAGCAGGTCTGCTTTGGGGAAGTCTTTAGTGTGGAGGAAATACTTCTGAGGGAGGTCCTCTCCAAAAAACACAACATCAGGTTTGACTGTCGCGGCGCAGAATGAGCATATGGGGACGTTGTCATTCATTATGGCGTGCTGTGAAACGAGAAGAAAAGAAGTGTTACTCTGGCATTAAATGCAGTGAATTACTGTTTTAAGTTTGAATAGTTTTTGACTACTGGGGTCAGACATACCTTAGCCTCCTCAGCAGGGTACGCAGTGTAGCACAGGTGACAGGAAGCTGTGGCAAAACTACCGTGCGCTTCCACAAGTTTGTCGTCTGGGATGCCACAAACTGTGAATAACGTAGTTAAATATTGTAAAAGCAAACAAGTGTCAGTATACTACTACTGGTTACACACATCCAGTATGTCTCTTGGTGGTGCGTTCATGGACATACTGTACATTGTACAATGTTGTATATTGTCTCTGTCCTATAAAACCCATGTATTGACAAAATCCATGAATCCATCCTTAAACAAGAAGAGCTTTTATAATCTTTCCCTGCTGGCAGCTGCGTAACCAAGTGATGAAAACTAAACTAAAATAAAGAAGAAAAGTTGATTTTCTGAGCACAAACATTAATAGAAACCAATGGCTTCATGGAAATTAAGAGTTTAATCTCCAAACAAGTCAGAATGAAAGTATACAGACTTTTTTGGCTAAAATAAGCAAAACTCAGCATNNGTGTTTTTTACCATATATTTGAACTAGACGAAGGATTTTAGTAATCAGATGTCTGGATCTAAAGTTCTCAGAGATACAAGCTGAGCTAACGTTAGTAGTAGCTCAGCTTGCAACCAATTCGGAGCATCCTTTGTCTGCCGGACAGCATCGGAGAAACACTGACTTTTAAGGTGAAACTGCTTTATTCTGGTTTTAACCAGCGGGTCCGCTTGTTTTGGAGAGGACGAGACCTCTGCGGATAATTCGGCTCCCGTTAGAAACCTCCTGAACAATAAACCCTGAGACGTGCCATTTCACGATGTCATCAAACATCTTTTATTATTGTTTGGATGTGAGAGACCTTTCACTGCTTGTAGATAAGTAATTAAGTGATGGGTATGCATTGCATTTGCATTTTAAGGTGTAAAGTTTGTAAATAAAAAAAACAACCTTTCAGATAATCTCAGTTTGAGTTACAGTTTGATTAAAAGATCCATTTCCAGCTGTTGTTTGTTCTCTTTAAGCTCTCACTCACCTTTCTCCAGTCCGTCAATGTTCTGGGTGTACATTCGGAGAAGCAGGCCTTTGTGATGGAGCATGCGGATGAAGTAGTGTATGTAGTTGGGCCGGTGGCTGCCAGGATACAGAGCCTTGGCCAGGGAGAAGAAAGGCTGCGGGTCGTTGGAGAAGTAGTCAATGTTGAAAATAGCTTCTGGGTAAGGGATGTTGTACTTCTCCACATTGGCATAAAGACCTGTTCCTGGAGTTCTGAAAGAGTACAGACATTTTGTACATGTACGTTTCGGGATATTATGGTGATGTTTTCATCAAAGAGCAGCTAAAAGAAAGTACCTTAATATCTCTTTTGAAACCCTCAAGCAAAAGGAAACCAGAGCTAATCTGCTCCTGGACAGTTTCTATATCCACTGAGCACGTTTACACTTCAGGTTTAGAGTAAAACAGAACCAAGAACGATAAAAGAAAATAGGGATATAATAGTAAAGAGAACGATATAGATGAGGTAGAGAGACACCAACCTGAAGTCTGGGATACCGCTGGCTGTGCTGATTCCTGCTCCGGCCACCACCACTATGTTCTTACAGCGGCCTAGCTTCACCAGCCGAGCCACAGAGGCCAGACCGCCCCGGGATGATGACTTGGCAGCACCCGCTGAGGGACTGCCCTGATCAGATCTGGACCCGGACTGACCAGCCTGCACAGGGTCACTGCTGCCTGTGGACATCTTTCCTTTACTGGGGGGAAAAGGCCAAGAAAAGACACATGAAAACATACATAAGAGCAGGAGGCCACACTTTGTAATAAATATTTATGTACAATATTAGTTTTATTCTGTATTTATTTTACATTTTGGTAAGTTAAAGGCAGACATCCTCATCCTCCTCGTGTCCTAACTGTCAGGTCTTTTTACAGACAAGTTAAATTAAATTCTGCTCTTTTTCCCCCCAAATCCTCCTCAAACAGCCAGTGTTGCTGCTTATACAGAACCTGAGGTAGTTATTGAAGGAATTAACATATTACATCTGAACAGGAAACGTTTCTTTCCATCAATAACAGCAAGTAATCATGTCTGAGATTGCCCCATATGGGATCAGGATATTTTAATCAGTGCCTAAAATGGGCTGCTATTCATTGGCACTTCTGATTTTTGTCCACATGAGTACCCTACTGATTAGTCTAGGTATGCACCCCTAAACACCTGTGTAATACTTTTTTTTTCCAACCAGTGTTCTGCCAAGACTGACTGGCTGGTGTTCATTGCCTTCGTTGGTTTGGTTGGTTACGTTTAGACCGTGCCAGCAGAGCCAGGGTGTAGTAAATCTAGCTTAACGTTGAGAAAACAGCACTGATAATGTTGTGGTTAGGGGGTTAGGGTTGTGCTGAACACCCCTCTTGGCCCAATTCAGGAACCGGTTCTCATGTTTATTCCCCTCTAAAAATAAAGTCAATATCAAACATGTCCTGTAATGTGTCCTCACCTCAGACCGTCCTGTCCACTCACACTCATCTGACTGAGGTTCTGGGCCAACGCAGAGTCCGTCTGCTTCTTTCGTTGTTTTCCATACGGACCCGGGCCAGAGTCCTGGGTCTCTGTGGGGTCGGTGTGCCTGGAGCTGCGAGTTATCCTGGTGACTGGAGGCTGGGGGGCTTTTTTATCCCAGCTGGACCTGGACCTGTTCATTCCAGCACCTGTTGACAGCGAGAACAATAACAAATCATTCAGCCTAAATGAAACATCAATCACTGTTAATAAGCATTAATACACGCTTCCTTTCCTCTGTGCTATCAGCTCAACGCAAGATTTGCCTAAATGACATTTTTATGTCAGACCTGAAAACAACAAGGTTTTATTTATTTATTAATTGCACAAAATGGAAAATATGATGATTGCTTGTTTATTGTCTGACATTTTTTAAATCTCTTTTTCCCCCTTAACTGCACTAATTAGACATTGACTTGTTTTGATTTCCACTTGCTCGTCCTCCTCTCCCTCCATCTTCTGTGTCCCATATTTAAAAAGCTGTTACACTGAAATCATCGTCCTTTTCTCTTCAGTCCCTTTGCACACAGAGAAACGAAAATGTTTTAAAACTGTCAACTGTTGAACAAAAGGTAATGGCTGCAATATATTTAGCAACCCCCCTCCCCTCCCCTCTGCTCTTCAACAGCTATGCTAATACAGTCCACAGCTGTGGCAGCTTTACTGTTCAGGGAAAGCGGAGGATAGAGTAGAGGGGTGGGGGGGAGAGAGTTAAAAAGAGGGGTGGCAGAGGTGAAAGGGAACCGTAGATTGACTGTGTGTCAACAAACCCAGCTGGGAGAGAAAAGAGGATGCCCCCTAACGGCCCCCTCAAACTGAGGAAAAAGGGGGCAAAGGGGGGGTGCAGAGATAAATGATACGGAGGCGGGATTCAATAAAGAGTGAACAGAGGAGTAGGAGAGAGGAGGAGGAGGTGGGGGGCTTCTTTTCCAAAGCTATTCTAGGCCTTCAAACAACTTCCATGAGGGATGAGTGTGAGTGATCAGGGAGAGGCAGCGAACAAGGAGACAAAAGAGCTACAACCCATAAAACATGACTGCTTCAGAGGGCAGCAGGGAGATAAGACAAGCTTGTTTTTTTTTTTCTCCAGCAGCACCTTATCGCCCTCCGGAGGGGATGGGAGAGGAGGAGAGGGGTCACCGAAGGCTTACAGAGGAGCAACATGGCTGGAAAAAACTGCAGCCTTTGGAATATGAAGTTATTGGACGATGCAGTCTCAAAGCTTTTCTTTAATTGAAAACATTAAAAGTTAAAGAAAATGACATATTATCAAGCTAAAAATGGATGTAAATGGATGTAAATGGTGTAATTTGTAGACCAACCACATTAAAAATCTACTTTCCTTTTAGGACTCAATCGTCTTTCACTTTGCCTCCTTAAAAAAGGCTGAAGCCCCCACATTACTACTTTGTTTTTGTCCCCCCTACACATCCTAAAAGAACTATTAAAAACAGCAGGAGGGCGAGGGTCTCTGCTTTTGTCTGTGCTCCTCTCAAAAAGACACTGCTGAGTACAGGCAATAAATCACCAGCCCAGTTATTAAGGTCTCACACAGATGGTGCGATGTGGCAGCAGAACCTAAAAACGATCAAACTCTCCTCTAATCACATGTGGGGAAAAGTTACACTTGCAACTGGTTAACCTGAAATTAATTACAGAAGTAACCTGACGTGGATGCAAAGCACGCATCAGGTGGTTATTAAGGATTTACTCAATTAAAGTTGGGGGAAAATGTTAAAAAGAAAAGGTCACTGGTTTGATCCCCAGCACCAACAGGAGGATGTATTCCAGCTGTGATCTGGGGAGTGGTATCACATATACTGGAAAGACAAGCTCTGCTTAACAGCTCTTGAGCAAGGCACTCCAAAGTCACTGCACTGCAGGCGACCCTCTGATGTACTGAATACATGTGGGGAAACTGTATATGTGTAACTAGGAGGGAGATGTGAAAAGAGAAACTTCAAGTACCTTGTGTACATTGACAATAAAGTAATCTTCTTAAGAGAGAGGAGGAACTTGAACATGTCACATTTTAGGTCAAACAGGTTACAACCAGTCAGAACAGAGCAGCAAAGGGACACCTCAGCAACAGGGCTGCTTAATTAATAAAAATTACAATATCTGAATCGCAATTTTTTTTATTAAAAAAGGTAAAATGTGTGACAAAACAACATTATAATGAAGCACTGTTGTGCTGCAGAGATTCCCTGTCCTATGAATCCTGTTCTCCAGATGTAAGTTTGGTACAAACCACAAGAAATGCCACATTATCATGATTTTAAAAAGTAAAGTAAAAATTTAAATTGTGATGCAGCAACAATCAATCCCACTTATCGTAAATAAATATGATGTTTTTTCATCATATCTTGCAGCTCTACTCAACAACAACCTGAAACAAGTTAAGATTATTTTAAATCCCATGCACAGGTGAACAAAGTGACATTTCTTTTTTTTTTTTAAATCAAACTACCTTGTAGTTTTTTTAAAACGTCCACTTTTTTTATCTGATAAAGACCTAATTGTGCCACAAATGCTGTTATAATTCTTTAATGACAAATAAATCCCTGTATAAATGACAAAAGGCTTAAAAAGGATTTGAGAGCACCCCCCCTCCCTCAACCCCCTCACTTTTGCTTGGCCTTTCACACTGCTTGTTCTCGCAGCTCTCCACAGTCAAAAAGCTGAGCCCAGTGTGTCCCAGTGTGTCCCAGTACCGGGACCACCAGCAGTGTAGCTGCTCATATGAGGGTTACAGTTATCTCATTAGGACGGTCCTACAAAACACTGGGCACACCTCGCTGCTCACCGTTACCACCCAAAAAGTCAGGCTAATGGATAATCCCTTTAAAAACTCAAGAGGCTAAGGACCAAAAGCCAAACACAAGCAGAGAGCAGCAGGAAAAATGTTTGTGTCGGAACAACAACAACAAAAAAACCACAACAGAAGCATCTTTTGGCTCATTATCTGTTGTGTTGTGTCTGGAGCTGCTGTAACAAGTGTGGGATCAATAAAGTCTATTTTATCTTATCTTAAAATTCAACCTGATGGCTAAAATTTGTGTCAGCGAACACGTGGATGCAGGTTTTTTTTTAATTACTCAATTATTAAAAATGTAATAATGTCATAGAGGCTCAGGTGTGTTTTAAATCTGGTTTGATTCACATCTTTCCAGCTCACACAGGTGGGTTGTGTTTGGTTAATTAGACTGGAAACAAAAAATACGTTATTTTTTGTTAAAAGCTGATCTGAGATTCAAACCTCACTCTGGTGAAAATGTTTGTTGGTTACTGCGATCACTGGTTTTCTTATTGGAGCTGGTTGATTAGACTTTTAGGCTCCATTATCGTCTTTAAGCTAAACATCACACACATTAATTGCTCAAACAATATAGTTGATGTGTCTGCTGTGAAAAAGGCTCCTCAAGCACAACAACAAAAGCTTAATTTAGCTTCTTGACTAGAATTAACTTGAGTTTCTTCTGAACTAAGGCTGCAACTAACAAATATGTTCCTTATATATTAATTATAAGTCATTTATTTTTAAAATGTCTGTAAAACTTGTTTTTCCTAGAAGATAATCTCTTTAAAATAAAACTGAACAAAAGGGAAAGAAACATTTGAGAAACAGGAACCAGGTATTTATTGCAATTTTCCCTTTGATAAACGACTTAATAATAAACCAATTATCAAAATTGTTGTCGATTAATTTCCGCCAATTGACTTATCTAATTTTTTCTGTCTCTTTTTTTAAATTAAAATATCAAATACAATACAAAACAACAATCAGGTCTGCTTAAAGGCAGTTCTGATAACTAAATTAGAATTTAAATTAAATTCCTCTAAATAGCTAAAACACAGTGATCCAGTTAATCCAGTTTACATTCCTCATTATGTAAAATGTTCCTAAATATGTGTAGTACTAAACAATACTGTCGGCATTTTGTGGTCCGGTGATATAAACCTTAAAAACTCTTCACTAAACTGAAATAAATCCATCAAAAACCAGATCCTCACTCGTCTCCAGCGGCAGTCTGGACCTGTAGACAGTGTTATGGGTTTTTTTCTAGAGGAGTTGAGTGTTAAAAACATCTCTGGAGTAACATGTCAGCTGTGTCTTAAAGGAGCTTTGGTTAACTTTAATGAGGGTCTTTCCCCCCCCCACACACACACACACACACAAACCTCCAGCATTTAACCCTCCACTTACAGCAGAACTGGAGGACAGCCGACTTTGATCTCTGCTGCCCCCCCCGACACAAGGATGGTGACGGGCAGCAAACCGGTCGCCATGGAAACCTCTTCATTACTTAGCTGGAGAGGCAACAGCTCTCAGTCCTCCGTCCCCACCTGCTCACTAATGACATATCACTCTGTGTAGCATCTTTGTTGCACTCTCAATTGACACAAAGCAGCGAGTCCTAATTTGTGTTAATATATTGTTTGTGCACACGGAGGGAGAGGAGGGCGGCGGAGAGCTAATTTTGCCCGGTGGGTCGATGGCTAACTAATGACTCTTGTCCCTGTTACTCCTCAGAGGACGTAACGGCCCTAAATGAAAACACCAATCTGCCAATAAAAAAAGGGGATGTGATGTTATTTGTGCGACCACGAGGAGCCTGCGAGGGAACCACGGACAGTGTTATTGAACCTCTACTCTTAATACTTAGTGACATACAGTAAAAGAAGCAACAGTAATGTAATAAAAAGGTTGTACAGTTCATTAAAGGCTGCAACTAAACACTCATTCATTATCAATTAGGGCTGCACAATATGGTAAAAACATCATATTGAGATAAATTTGACAGATATTATATATTATATATTTGGTCATTTTTGCATCACAAATTGAATTTTCACTGGAATAAAAAACTTAAAATTATGATTATGAGAAGTTTTTGTGTGTCTGTACCAAACAAAAGTGTTGTTATTGAATAAGAACTACAGTACTTCATTATAACGCTGTTTGTCACACATTTTACCGTCACCTCTTGGCCATATTGCAATTTCGATAACATTTGGATTAATTGTGCAGCCCGATTATCAGTTAATCTGCAGATTAATTCATTTTATTAACTCATTTGTGCCTGCAACTGAATTTTTCAATTTCAATGAAAAGTGAGGTGTCTTATCATACTATATTAAGTCTTAGGACACATGGTTTGTGCATAAAATGGTAGAAAATGTTCTTGAATAAGCAATTAAAGTGAGGAATTTCCATTATTTTCAGTACACACATGCTTCAGGGTCCTATCTATATATTCCATATAAATAAAAGTTGCACACACAAGTTTAAGAAATTGGCTGTATCTCATAAAGGAGAGCAAGCATCTGATATCTATGAACTCATAAGAAGGTGACAATCAAAGACGTTGATAACATACTGATATTTATTTTCTTTTTGTCTTGCATATAACCCAAAAGTAATGGAAAATAATAAGTAATGATAATAAGTTACGTTTTTTAACAGGTAACTAGTAACTGTATCGGATTACATTTTTAAAGTAACCCTACCAACTGCAGTGCTGACCAGTGGTGGAACATAACTAAGTACATTTACTCAAGTGCTGTCTGATGCACTTTACACTTCTACTTCTCAGCTGCATTTGATTCCTTTTCTATGTGTTTGTCTCTTGCCTCTCTCTGAGGCCCCTGTCATGTTTCAGATTTTGTTAGAAACTCCCTCTAAACGTCTGACATGGTTTCATCTCAATAAGAAAAAGCAAAGATTACAGAAAAAAATCCTATAAATTTGCGTAGCAGAATTTATATATACATACTCCCTCTTATCTACTCCCTCTATAGCTTTTTCTTCTTTCCTCTCTGATTAATCATTTCACAACCCTTCAGATGTAACATGTTAGCCTATAGAAGGGCCCGACCCTGAGGATGCAATGTAAAAAACACATTCTTTTTACGTTAAAAAAAGTTGTGGTTGCCAGAACTTTATTGTAATAAATATGGTAGAACTTTTTCTACTATTATGGTAATCCATCCATTTTAATCCATATTTTACCATATAAATAGTTTTAACCATCAATAGAAACAGTTTTGCAGTAGTTCCTCCACAGTAAAAGACTGCATCAGTATCAGTATAAAGAATCTAATAATGTCATATAGAATAATACAACACTAAGAGCGGATATTTTACTGCAAAACCATACTCTTACTTTGATGAATATATTCCATTTAGCTGATAATACTTGTGTTCAAAGCAGGATTTTAAAAGCACGACTTTTACTAAAATAGTTTGTACATGTACTGTGTTTTTCTTGGATAGCAACCTTCAAATGTGCCAGTCAGAGTCGTTCACAATGACACGTTATTCTGAGTAATTGAACAAACCGTATAACTACCAAACATTTGCTCTGTGGCCAAGCAGGTAAATCCTGAAATCACTATAATTAAGTCAGTCAGTAATTGTTTCAGGTGATATAATTATGCAGTAATGTGGTTAAATACCTAATGTTCCGAGTGCGGGCACTAACAAATGAAGCAAATGAAATTACTCTACAAGCTGTTAAGGCAAACCTTATACGTTGCATGTTTTGTGAGAATTCTTGTAGAGTGAGGCATGCGTGTATGTATGTGTGTGTTTGTGT